ACGCCAATGATGTTTGATCAGGTCCACCAACAGCTTCTTGAAATGTCGCTGGCTCAGAAAAGTCATTGACTTCGACCGCATTGACACTGGCATGCCAACAAACAGGAGGGCTCGCATCGTCTTCATTGCCTTGATCATTGCCCTTTTCTTCTTCATCCCATTCGACGCGAGCACGTGTTCGTCGTTTCTTTTGACATTTCTTCGTACCGTATGGACAGTCCTTCACGAGCCTTGGGATTCCACTTTCGTCGCTGTTCTCTTGGAGTGAGAACATAGACTCGACATCCGAACACTCGCATGTGTTTGACGCTTGGCTTGGACTTCTACATGATCTCAAACAGAGTCTTGTCTTGGATCTTTGGCGATGGCATGCGATTCTTGATGCTAATTGCCGTCATTACAGCTTCATCCCGGAATCACTTGCCCAGTTTTTCATGATGAAGAGGACTGAGCCCAATCGTGACAATGGTCCAGATGGCACGTTCTACTGTGTCATTCGTCTGATGTTCGTACGGAACTGTGACTCGCTGCTCGATGCCTTGTTCCTCGTAGAAAGTCTCGATTGAGGATGCCGCAAATTCGCGCGCTCCGTCGTGTCGGACAAACTTCACCTTCTTGTTGAATTGCGTCTGCACCGCCATGGCATACTTCTTGATGCACGTTTCACTTTCCGACTTGTCCCTCAAGCAGAAGCCCTTCATACACCCGCTAGCTTCGTCCACGATCAGAAGTAGATACTTGCTGCCACTCGGTGAATTCTCTTCCATGGAGCCACACGTGTCGATGTGAAGCAGCTCAAACGTGTCATAACGACGCTCGTCATGATTGCTTTGAATGGTTTTTGGACCATTTTTTGCAATGTCCGTCGATAGTCTGATGTAGAGATATGGATCAAAGGCTGAAACTTGAAAACCGATGGAGCATACGAACTCGTCGAAGGTTTCATTCCATACTCGAGATGCTTGTTTCAGACCATAGATGGCTTTCACCAACTCGAGACGATCAAATGCACTGTCGCTCTCGACACCTTCAGGGACCGAGCAGAAGACTTGTTCCTTCATCACGTCATAGAGATATGCCGTAACAACGTCAAGTTGATCCAGGGGCCAGCCGAAATACTTCGTTAGATACACCCCAACAAGCATACGCAGCGTAACGTACTTGACGACGGGTGAGAATGTCTCGGTGTCGTCGACACCATACTTTTGCTTGAAACCCTTTACCACTAGTCGCGTCTTGTACTTCTCAATATATCCGTCGGCTTTTCGCTTGATCTTGAACACCCACTTCGTGAAATAGTAGGTTGTCCGATTGGTAACTTGGCAGCTCGAAACACGCCTCGAAGTCGCATGGACTCCAGTTCCGCACATCAGCCTTACGCCAATGATGTTTGATCAGGTCCACCAACAGCTTCTTGAAATGTCGCTGGCTCAGACAAGTCATTGACTTCGACCGCATTGACACTGGCATGCCAACAAACAGGAGGGCTCGCATCGTCTCCATTGCCTTGATCATTGCCCTTTTCTTCTTCATCCCATTCGACGCGAGCACGTGTTCGTCGTTTCTTTTGACATTTCTTCGTACCGTATGGGTAAAAATTATCGACATCGATAAAATATCACTGCGTAAGCTGTCGAAAGTTGTTGGTACAACTTGGCGCCGAAACGAACGAATGGATGGACCGAGTGATACATTGCAGATTGAGGGGCACACTTATAATGAGATCAAGCTTCAGCGTCAACAACCCAGCAAATCAACGCATGAATTAAGAGCTCGACGACTTCCGTCATTGCTGCCACCGATAATAGACAACAAGATATGTAAAGCGACAAAGGTGAGGTTGACGAACGTCTTGTCAGATGTCGCAGTGTACCCAGCACAATTTCCAATCATCTTGTGGGATACTCTTGGAGCCTTGCCGCGTGATGAAGGTTATGTGAGAGTGAACTTTGCGAAGTATCACGACTGGCAAATACTGGCTTACGAGGTCGTCAGGTACAAAAAAGCGCTTACAGAGAGAACAATCGATCTACGCAAAATGCTTTTCTCTACAACCACCTTCAGTCAAACGTCACGCCTATTCACAGCCTAAGGGGATCTTACGCAGGATTGTGACCGTTGATGACAACCTGACATAGACAACTAGTACTAACGACAAGATCCCCACACGCGCATCCACGGCTATTAACTGGCATCCAACGTCTAAGCATGAATGCCCGTTAGATAACGGTCCTCAAAAGATTCATTGATATGACAAGATACCCACTGGAAGTCATCCCACCTGGATGCATAAAAGGGGCGTGTAAAAAATCCGAAGATGCACGACCCCGTAGTCTCCACGTCAATACGCGATACAGACGTAGTGGAATGTAGGCCAAAAGACACCATGTCCTACTTCAGTGGTAATAAATCTGACAGATGTGACGATGATGATCAATACAATACACAGGCGGAGATTCTAACGGCGACAAGTAAGGACGGCGTCCCGTCACAGTGCATACGTCTATCCAAAGAATCTGGTCGGAAATTTCCGGATCAGGTTTTGAGAACGACTTGAAGTAATGACGCAACTTGGAAGGAAGAGCCGATGGCTGACGAATGTGATACTTCGGAAGACAAATTCGACCGACGATATCTGTGCGCTGTATGCGCCACATATATGCGGATCTCGGACGACATACATCCCCTTTCTTAGGTAAATCCTTCAGAATACGAAGCCACAACACCTACCTTAGAGCCATCACAGAGAACAACAACGCGGGCAAGTGATAACGAAACTTTGACTACAAGTAGTCGTAACACTCTTCAAATGGACTCGCATCACGACCGGGGCAATTTTGATGTAAAGAAATTTCTTATCAAACACTCCATACAAGTGAGATTACCGGGGGTTGGCAAGTTTGAGGTCGGCGAATTCAAGGTTGCGAGCATGATGTCAATGACCCAAGTGTTGGCGACTTAAGTGTCGGCAAACTCCGTTTACTGTGCAGAATGCGAGAAGATCGAACGACAGATTCATTACTTTATTTGTATAATAACAAGGGTAGTACAAAGAGCCATTCAAACTGCCTCTGCGATGTTTCAAAATAGATCGATTTACACAGAGGAGAATTTTCAAATCATAAGGCACGCGTACACTAACGGTCCCTGCGCGGGATAGATTAAGCCTACCATCTAACCTCGAGAGGTGTAGCTTGTAGAGGTTTCGAGTGGTAGTGCGAAGAGATTGGAATCGCCAGGGTTGAGCAACACTTGCTGCCAGCGAAAGAAAGCCCTCGTCGACGACGAGCCGGTGACCCAATAGCCGGCAGTGTTTGAGAATTGACAAGTGATACGCCGGTGAACCGATAGACGGTATCGTTAAAAGTCTTATTGAGCGAAGAGCCAGTAAGCCTCGGAAAAATGCACCGAAAATCTTCTAGTCGGGCGGACACTGCGCCCGGTGACCTGTAAAAGCGCGTAAGGTGTCGGCTTCCACCCGTTAGTGTGAAGAAACAGGAAGCGAGATGTTTATGCGGTATGGTAGTTAGTTAAAACTTGTAATACAAAAGCATTAACGTACAAACACAACAATCGCCGAGATCAGTCGGCGCAACGAGCTAGTACGTGAGGGCGATCCCCTCGCGGTTCGCCCCTTCGGGGTTCAGTTGTGGCTTTCGCCTAACCGATTCCATAAAACCAATTTCTACAGAGACCTGCCTGATACCAGCAACATCTTCTAGTCGGGCGCAGTACGCCCGACTAGATGCTTATCGGTGCCCCGGTTGAGGCCCACAGGCTTGTCGCTCGACAAGACTTTCAGCGGTGCCGTCTATCGGGTCGCCGACTTGTCACTTGACAAGACTCACAACAATTCCTTTACTAGGTTTACAGACTCGTCGACGACGAGACTTCTTCTTTCGATAGTATCGAGCGCTGACCAACCCAGGCCTTCCTAATCTCTTGGCGCTACCAGTCGATACCTCTACAAGATATGCCTCTGGAGGTTCGACGACAGGTATAATCTAGCCCACGCAGGGACTTACCTTAAGTGTACGCGTGTATAAGACTTAGAAAATTCTGCACTATATTGGTTTATCTTTATTTCCATCGCTGAAACGTTGAGTGGTCCTCTGTTTTTCTCCTCTTTCCTTATACTTGAACTAAATGTAGTGGATCTTCTTCGATCTTCTCGCACTCTACACTACGCTCTATCGTCGATGACCTAGGGTTTGACGACCTCGACTTCGACGACCTCGAGTTCGACGACCTCGACTTCGACGACCTCGACTTCGACTTCGATGACCTCGACTTCGAGGACCTCAATATCGCCGACCACCGGTTACTTAGCTTATCTAAATATATAGGGTCTTTTCTACTTGATCCCTACACCACAAGAGCTGCTCTATACTATCAATAGTTAGCCACCTAGTCATGCATGTTACCATTTGAGCGTCGAAACACTCATATGACTTAACGCCATGGAGCCGAGTGCCGCTATAGCTGGATAGCCAAGTTTTCGACTACGCGAGGATGATGATGGTACGTGTGTTTGCACCGGTATACTTTGCACCTACTTGCTGCGCGATGATGGCACCGATTCGGCGCGAGTTCGACCAACCCCAGCGCGTGCACACCGTGTCACAAGAATGCATCAAGTGCCCCCTTGTTTTTCTGCCTTTTGCAGGTCAAAGTGTCGGCTGCTTTCGATCCACTTGCTAAGCCCATGTCAGTTATCACTCGACGGTGTTTGTGGCTAGATTTCCATCGATGGATGGCTAGCCACGAATAAGGCGAGAGGTCGCGTTTTAAATGTGGCGTGTCTGTTGCTCATGCCCGACTCGTTCGCCCAAACGACTCGAGTTGAAAAAAAGGCGAGCCGAAAAGCGAAATAAATGACGGTCGTCGTCGCAGCTTTGCATAAATTACCACTCCCTTGCACTCGTCGCCCACCTCGTCGTTCGCAGCAAACGAAACAAAAGTAAACAAAAAGTAGCAGCAGCAGCAGCCGCCGCGCGACGATGCTGTCGACTGCGACGCTGCAGCACAACTTGGCGGTGCTGCAGACGCAGCTCGAGACGCTGCAGCGCGAGAACAGTGCGCTGACGCGCGACCTGTGCCTCAAGGAGAACTACATTGAGCTCAAGGACCAGCAGTTCCGCGTGATGCAGCGGCGCCTGGAGGAGCTCGAGGGGACACTCGCGCAGTGGAAGGACCGGTGGCTGCAGCAGGTGAACGCCCAGCAGGCCACAACGAGCCACAGCAGCAGCAGCAGCAGTCGTGGAGAGTGCGAGAGTGGCTGGACGCCGTGGCCCTGCAAAGCCGGCGTCGCAGGTCGCGCCAAGGCGCTCGCGCAGGCCACCGCCAAGCTCGCGAACGTGTCGGAGACGGACCGCAGTAAAGTTCAGCCCCTGTTGACGATGATGGAGCGGGAAGGCGATGGCGCGGGGGCCGTGGACGACGACGTCGTGTTTGTCGACGTGTCCGAGGAGCTCAGTCGCATCTTGTTGCTGTATCTACTGCCCGCGCTACTGGACGTGGTGGGCGGCCGAGCACAGACGCTGCAGTGCTTCAGTCGCACGTATGCGAAACAGACAATGGACTTTCGAGTGCGTGTCGACCGGACCGCGGACACGGCATCGACGGCTAAAGGAGGCCACGGCGAGCCACGGGACGCAGCTACTACGAGGGACAGACTGTTGCTGCCGCCAGGACCGTCTGCTCTCGGTGACCCTTCGACTGCGTTGAGGGAGGACCAGTTCTTGGCTCGAGGAGCACAGCCAGCATCGGAGAGCGAGAAAGATGAGGCACCGCATCTGTTCGACTGCGTAGAGCTGGATCGGCGTGGTGCTGTACACGCTTCCACCCCTCACGGCTCCCGTGAACTGCATGCGACAAAGGCTATGTTCACCTCGCGACCTCTGAGCGGGTCGGCTGCAGCGCGAGCCGCCATGTCGCCTCCACTCGATAGAGGGGGAGAGAAGTCGCTGGACAAGACGTCGCGGCAGTACACGTTGACGCCGAAATGCACAGGCACAACGTTTGCGGTGGACAGTGCACGTACGAACACGATGATGACGACTGTGGGCGCGCTACCGTCACCATCACAGTCTGTATCGTCGGTGGGTGGGTTTCGTCTGGGCTCTAACGGCGATGCAATGCCGACGCCTCCACGCGAAAGCAAGGACGGCAAAATCAAGAAGATTGTGGGGAGCGTGTTTGGCCGCCTCAGCCGCCACAAGTCGCAGCAGTCGCTCACGACAAAGTCTCTACTGTATGCGTCACCAGTGCCCATGAGAGTATCAGTTGGGGCAATCGATGTTGCTGATGACGATGACGAGTCGATTTGCGATGGCTGCGGACGTGGGCCACTCCTAGGTGTCAAGTGGGTGTGCCGCACGTGCCGTCTGCTAGCTGATGCAGAGTATGAGATATGCGAAAAGTGCTACGGTCAAGGCGTCCATGGTGAAGAGCACGATGATGCGCTGTTCACTCGTGTCGAGTCCATTGTAGTCCGCAAGTGTCCCCAGCTGGCGGGCGAGACAGAACTGCTCCGTTTGTTGCGAACCGGCATTTGCAAAGCTAACCTCAAGAAATTCAGCTTCTGCCTTACGTGGATCGCGGACTTGCTGCAATGTAAGCGCACGACGGATCTGCGAGCACGGGCACTGGAGATCGCGCATATCCCTCCCACTGTTCGTAGCGAATTCGCTAGACTACTGCGCGAGCTTCTAGCGCAGTATCGACCCAACATTGAACTGAAGACGGAATGGGAGCCAGCTGCTGGTTCCCAGCATGGTGCTGTCGGTCCTGGAACTCCTGCAATGCGATGCGAAGGCGTGTCGAGCGAGCTTGATACGCTACGAATATGGGTGAAAGACGCGCCTCTGCCTGTTACAGCGTCGCTTGGAGCCACATACGTCGGGACACCCTCTCATGGCTAGCTGTAGCTGTGTTGCGGACCGACCCCATGCTCGATTGGGTTGCCCGTGTAAGTACCATACCTACGAAAGATGAACAGACACGTCACGAATGCTGCTGCGAAGGAGACAACGATGTCAACAGAAGCGTTAGAACGACAGCAAAGCTCTAGAAGTACAGCGATATATAAGGGCTGATGAGAAAGGAGCAGCGGTGCAAAGCGCGCTCGACAGACGCCACTGCTGTGCATGGTGCATGTAGCACCCATTTTGTTGGTGCGGATGGAGTGACCGCAGACCGCTCAGAGACGGTTGTGTCGAAGATCGCGACGTCGAGGCGATGACTGATTTCGGAAGGACGGAGTTGGTCATCTACCGCATGGTCACGGTGATACCGATCACAGCGAACGCGTTTGCTGTCCAGCAGCTTTGGCTGACATGGTGCATCGTTGATGTAAAGATGAGCTACAAGCGATTGCGACTCGTTTGCTTGACGCGGCTGAGTAGCTAGACGTGGGAGCGTCGAGCTTGACGAGAAAATGCGCGCCAAACTGGCTTCTTTTGCTGGATACAACTGCAGAAGACATGTAGGTGTAGATTTGGTCATTTGGGCGCGTGTGCTCCAGCGGCATCGCGATCGACAAGTCCATTGGGCGAGCTTGCGTTGTCAGTATCGGTTTTGCAACGTCTGGACCTCGAAGCTGGCACAGCTGATACGGATGGGGTCGATGGACAGCATCATGCGAGGGGATGAAAGCTGGATCAGAGCACGTAGGGACCCACCGGAGCCAGGTTACTGCGTGCAAAAGAACTCGCGGCGCTGTCTGCGTGTCAGCCCAGTAGCTTCACGAAGACAGACCAAAAACAACGCTGGACCCGTGGAAAGCTGCTCAGAAGTCAAGAGATACTCATATTGTCTCGTGGAATCGCATTTGGACCTGTGCCATGAGTTCCACGTCTGGAATTGGCGAGAGTGTTCAGTCATGACACTGTCATCTTTGCTAGTGCATGGACGATGATATCGCCTCACGAAGGAAGGGCGAATGTCAGCAGACTCACATCCTACGCAACAAGACCTTCGGCGCGCGATTTCTGACACGAGCCACGTTCCATCCAACTGCCACGTGATTGATACGAAGACCCGCTGTCTCCAACAGCAGCGAGCTCTGAGCGACTCACTCGCCGTCGAAGCCGGTGTCCAAGACAATGCGCAACTTCAGGGACTCATGTGGCAAGCCTCAGTGCATACCACCTGAGTCCTGCAGCTGTGCAGTCACTATTTGTTGCAAGCAGATGATAAGAAGGTGCTTGCTGGTTGCAGAGAACTCTGCGGATTCGCACGAATGGGACCGTCACTCAGCGCAGCTTTGACTGCGTTTGCAGCGATTCGCAGTGATCTGCTGGTGGCGGTCGAACGCCCGTGAGTGAAACGGTCGAGACGTGGCGGAAGAGGTCTGCAGTACGAGCCATGTGGAGTATCTCCATGTCCACGTCGTGGCAACTCATGACAGCAATGGAATCCGATCGGTGGCAGTGAAGGAAGAGCTCCGCACTTTGAACTTCGCCTGACGGATCGTTGTCGTCATCCTCGTCTCCACCCAGCCGCCTACCGCTACAGACAGCATGCCGCCGACCAAAGTTTTACAGCTCCACGTATGCGATAAACCCAACGGGAATGATGATGTGTAATGGTCGATGGAGTCGTTAATGGGAGGGTGCGTCAGCATCTAATAAAAACCACTTCAAGTATGCAGTATGTTCACCTAGCAAAACATCGAGATAGTATCTCGATCGATATCGGATAAAGGAGGGCTAGATCATCTTTCCTTTTTGCTCGGATTATCGAAATCGGACAAGAATGTGTGTCCTAAGATAATACGAGATTGCACAATGTTTGGTCAGCATGATAAAAAAGGGTAAGTTGGTATACTATCTGTTGTATGCCGATATGATCTCATTTGCTCGAATGGGTTTATATCGGTAGCCCCAAAAAGAGAGTACCTACTTTTCGATTTCATCATGTTGACCATAGGATAGATGATAAACAAGATTGCATCAAGTGCTTCTCTCTTCTCAGAGAACAACAAACTACCTACCCTTTGTGCACCAATCCAAACAATACTATATCAGGTCCTTGATCTGTTCTTAACTCGTTACACACTAATCACCCTTTCACCAGTGCAAGAACCTAGAGTTTTATCGAAAAATGTATGCCCTGAAAAGCTACAAATCCATTTAGGAAGACAATAATCGAGATGTTAGTAGGTATTTCTTATCCTCGTGTTTCGAATATCGAATCTGTGTTAAATAAAGGATAGTTAGTTGACTGTCGAAAGAGAGCTCTTCTATCTGATCATGAAAAACGAGACTTCCTTTTGCTTGGACTGATTGTTTCTCAGTCTAGATTCTTCATCCTAGCAGTGCAATCGATACAAGCAGGTTTTATTACCAAACACAAGCGATTCGAACAGGGATTCCAGCGTACGATCGAAGCCTCGCTTCGTATCGCGCAAACACTAAGGAAAGAGATTGACAAGCAGAGTGAGTGATGCAAAACAAGGAACGGTAGATCGTAATCGTTCCGGCGATGCGGACAGTTTATGTGTACGCAATGAGGCTGTTCGTCGCTAGTGCATGTCAGAACAAAGGCAACTCTATTTGCTTGAGAGGGCCTTCGAGCCGTTGTCGAACGAACATCATCGCTTTCTGCATACCGTCGGTGGCTAAGTCACCAACAGAGTCTCTGCACTGAACAATCACGCACCTGTGCGTTTCGCTTTGGCAGCATATACGGAGACTCGCTGTCGACTGTCGAGTCATTCGATACCATTCAGCTGGCTTTTGGACTTCTCAATCCCTTGCAGCAAACTAGACGACGACCGAAGCTGCGAGACTCCTCGCGTTTGTAACTCCGATTTTGTCTACTAATCTCAATGAGCTGCGGCGTCGATTTCAACTTTGCTCGGCGTTCCTGGTCCGTGCTTTCCTTTGCTCGGGGGATTTGGCTGTAATGTACGCGACCTCAGAGCCAGAGGTGCGTTGCTGCAATTCGAAAGCCCTTCGTGTGCACGACGTGAAGGGAACACGCTGGGCGTACAAGTGTACGTCCTGGTACCCCGACACCAAGAACACTCGGTACCATCGCTACTTCACTACAAAGGCAGCTGTATTGACTGGAGTCTCAATTGCATCCACTAATCTCAACGAACAGCACTGGAACGCAGAAATGACTTGTCTTTGGTGCAGCTGGACGGGCGTCGGATGACGGGTACCAAGTGATACTGTCATTGTTTGACCGCCGTCAAAGAAGCAATGCAAGTTCACACACAAACAGGCCGGAGCATCGCTCGCACAAATGAGAATCACGTCAACCACCGCTTGGCTCGAGACGTCAATCAACGTCAACGACAGCCAGACAGACTACCCGCAGCGCGCAGTGCAGTCCTCCCGCAAACGGGCATCAGCGAAGCGGCGACTCTTAGCCAGACGGTTAGCCCTCTTTGTGCTGTCCACTGCAGGCTACCATAGGTAGCTTCGCGAGACAGTTACGCCTCTCTGACCAGGGCATTGCTAGTCGCAATCGTTCCTCAATACAGCGCCTCACTTCCAGCAACAACAAACTCCATTGTTGAACGGTGATTGGGGTGCTCAAGGGAGTACCCGACGATACCACCCAAGCTATCGACGGGTACGAGCTTGGTAACATCGCCAACAACGAGGACATTTACTGGTGTAAGTGCGGAGGGTCAAGCCACTTTGCTTCGTCGGGGTTGTCAACAACAGGCTCCCTATGCTTTGGCCTTGCGGGTTTCGTCCAACTGCTCAGTTTGTCTCGCAACGACGACATGCGTCGGATCAGCATGCTGCAAATAGCTGCTACTGAGTGAGAGTGCTTCCGATCAACCTGTCTCTATCAAAAAGGAGGACGCCCGATGTCAAGCAACACGTCCTGAACAAGGCCATTGTTCGATCGCGATGTGGCGTTGTCTTGCTGATCGAAGGTCCACACTAACATACCGAGTTGTCCGGTCCACTTCGGGTACATCGGTCCAGTGCAAGTTGCTCGTCCAGACACGCAGTGCAATCTGAAAGCTCGAGAGACTGACAATTCTAGGACGGTACTGACTAACTGCATGATCGGTCCCCTACCGACGCCTTACACTCGCGTCGCACTCCTGAGAGTGCCAAAAGAGATGGCGGGCCGAACTGCTTCGTTTTGGGCTGCGGGTCAGTGGGCCGGGTTCGTGCCCGACAGTCCGACAGCTCCATGAGCTGATAAAATCTCAGAGTTGGCCGGTCGAAAGCCGAATCACATACCGGCAGCCGCCAAATTGCAATAACTACAAAAGTAGCCTAGCGGATACCCATCCGTTGGTCTCGCGCAGAGCTAATCCGCTACCGCCTATCCATTCCCGCGATTCACCGCTCGACGGACAGGTCCAACGGTCGAGGCCGCGATGTCGAACTGCCTCACTCGTTTTCAGCACTCGCGTTGACATCGAAAGGCCGTACCTTTGGTGGTACATGTTGACGTCGGCAGCAATGTAAGCTGTGAAGTGTGCTCAGAAGCAGTTTAGGAGGTCGCTAGCTAAGTCGCAAAAGCAGCATTTCGTCAACAGCTCTGTCACAAAAGCAGCATTTCGTCAACAGCTCTGTCACAGAAGCAGCATTTGGTCAACAGCTCTGTCACAGAAGCAGCATTTGAGGTTCAGGCTCAGCGTACACTGATCAAACGCGTCGTAGTGCGTCCGGTTCCTGACGGGCACACGATGACTACTCGCCCAGATGAGTTTAGGGCACTCCATGGGATATGTGGACTAAGACCATACGGTACCTCATTCGCTTCGGAAGCTGAGAGTCGTCCACTGGCGTCGTCGACCCACGTGGCGAGCAACTTGCGCTCGAGTTCGACACTGATCGTGTCGATACTTTGAGCGCCCTGACTCGGGAATCGAGCAACGGGTCGCAGCGTTTTCGTATCGATCGATCGCCATTGGTGACCTGTGCGATGGAAAGATGACAGGACTGCTGTAAGGAGGTGCGCAGAGTGCAGTGGTGGAAGCAGACGACCGTCCGATCGACTGCCGACGCACTTTGTGCCCACGTTGTGCCGCAGAGAGAGAGAGACTGCGGTTGGTGTGCGCTTTCGTACCCGTTCGGTAAGTCAATGACCAGTTTTGTCCCAGACAATCTCGTCGACAGCCAGGAGTGTCTGGTCGGGACCCTGAAGACCGAGACACTTTGTATGAATCGCGCATAGCGCTAGAGACGCCTACGTAGTTCGTTCTGCCAGAAGGAGCTCACGCTGTCCGAGTTGTCACGCCAGCTCTCTCGCAAGAGATTCCAGTACGGGCAACCGCATTGAGTAGCAGCACTGCCAGCCACACTTGTTATTCCTCGAGTCGCTATCACGGAGAGGTCGTGGCGGGTCGTACATCGCAGCTGACGCGCGTTCCGATTGTCGCTGGCTCGCAGTGTATTCGCCCGCACTCCGCCGTCGCGCTTCGTGGATGTTTCACGCCCAAGCTCTGTCTCTGTTGTTGTGGACTGTGCGCGGTCGATGCAGTTTATGCCCATGAGTTAGCTCGTCATCGCGACCTGCTCGGAAGAAGCGGGTGAAGCGGATAGGGTACGGAGGATAGGAAAAGAGGTGGGTGGGAGCTGGACAGCACATCCGATACATGTCGCGGATTGCTGCAGTGGATGGCAAGAGCACAGGCGAGCGCTCAGCGTCCAGTCAGACTGTCAGACTATCTATCCGACAAGACATGCGCTCGGCAAATCGCATCGCACAGTGCGCAGAGGGCTCCGCGACCTCTCCATCTGATCCGTCAAACTTTCGCACCTGCAACGACGACAAGTCAGCCGCTTCTTCCATGACAGAGACTTGGCGCGGTCAAGTGCTGGGGACCGCGTCGAGCACTTTCCACCTGTGTATGGGCGGCGCCATGTGCCCATGCAACAAGAGCTGCGTCGATCGAGGCAATCACGTAAGCCACACGTCCGTCCACGGGATCATGTGCCGACGACGTTGTGACGCGCGTTTGGAAACGCTCAGACGTCGTGTGCACTCGGATGGTGACGAAATCGATCATGAGATGTCCGGCCCCGTCGTTCCTCTCTCTCTCTCTGCTTCTCGCAGTTCGTCTATCCGATGCTGTCCTTTGTGTCTCACGTTCGACGCTCTGCGCTAACGCCGACGGACGCCTTTTTCCACGACCAGCTCGCTCGCGCTGATCCCTTGGACTGACTGCCTGCCTGTGTGCGGCGAGCGAATGGCCACTTGATTGCGTTCGCAGCCGAGCGCCCACTCGTGCGTGCCGAACAGGCGTTCCACAGCCAAAACGTGTCGTTTTGGCAACAAGGCGACCACCGACCCACACCCACTACGCGTCCACCGCGACGCAGACTGCGGCTGCGAGTGATGCGCGCGATCGTCCGATCGCACCTGTCTCAGCAACACGCGCAGCTGAGCGTCTTCTGCGCGTCGTGGGATTGTCTGTCTGTGTGTGTGTTTCTGGCCGAGCGGTTTCCAGAGCAGCCGAGCGCGGGGCTCAGAGTGCTCAGTGGCGAGTCGACCGACCGACTTGAGGGTCCACGAGCTCCGGTCCTCCATCGAGTCGCTCACTTTGTCTTTTGCCATCGACCGCGCACTCGACCGATCCCCACCCACTTCGCCTCCACCCCACACAATGAACACCAGCAGTAGCACTCCGTTCCGCACCGCCGCACTGGCCGCGCTGGCCGTCGTCTCGTCCGACAACTTCGTCTCAGTCTGCCGCGACGCCACGTACAAACTCCCGAGCGCCCGCGGCGCCATCTGCGCAGGCGCCGGTGACGCCCCGTCCGGCACTGCGTGTCCCATGATCGGCGACGTCGCGTCCGGCGACTGCTACGGGTACCTGCCGTCGTTCGATGGCGCGCAGTGCACCGTCAAGGAAAACGCCGTGTGCACTATCGTGAACGGCAACACGTGGGGCTGTGTCTTCCCGTCCACGGGCTGCCTCGACGTCGTCGCGACGTCGGACATGCACACGTCAATGGGCGGCCCGGACGCGGGTTTCCAGGCGGAGCTTCCAGGCCCCAAGAACGCGGACGTCGGCTTCAACGGGACGACGCCAGTGCCCTTCGACAACGAGGCGTCTGGTCTGCACCCGCAGCTGGCGACGCCCCCAGTGCCGCTCAACGGAGCTGCCGGGATGCCCCCGCAGGAGCAGGTGCCGGCCCCGGGCGTGCACGACACCACTGGAGCTGGTGGTATGCACCCGCAGGGACAAGTGCCGGCGCCTGTCGTGAACGGAGGGGCTGGTGGGTCTCAGATGGGACCGACGCCCTCTGCCCTGCAGGGCCCTACGGGGGCCACTGTTGAGATTAAGGAGAAGTCCGCGCACGACAACTCGGCGCTGACTACGACGAATGCCGGGACGCCTTCGCATCCTATTGCTCAGGAGGGTCCGAACCCTATCGAAGGCGGAGCTGCTGGTCCTCATCCGACCCCCGCGACGAACTTGGGAGGAGAGCTTGAGGATCCATCGAACCTTTCGTCCGAGTCGGTGATGCCGAGCGCGGAGACCCCGACGGTCCCGACCCCGGCGGCTCACTAGACGAGCAGGTCGCCAGTCCCCACACCGGCCAAGTCGAGGTGAGGCTGTCGGTCGTACGCCGCAGCCCCCGCGTCGCTAGTTGGGTGTGCGAACTCGATCCGTTTCGAGGCGGAACCGATCGACTCTCTGTGGTGGGAGTCATTCCCTCTCTCAGTCCGTCCGTTCGTCCGTTCGTTCGTTCGTTCGTTGGTTCGCTGTGCACGTGGAGAGGAACTTCCGCCTGAATGGGAGAAGAAGTTTTGCTCGTGCGGGACATTGCAACGGCTGAAGTGCACGTTTGAATAACTGTTGATCTCAGCCCATTTGTGTTGTTTCTGTCCGTCTTTGTATCACCCCGCGCACCTTTTGGCGACCGGTTGACGGTCAGCATTCGGTCCTGTGCGCCCTCGGGAAAGTGTCCTCTGCGAAGCTATAGCTTTGCTAGCAGTCAAGAACCGATCGGCATCATAGTGCTAACTGTTCTAGTCAAGAATCGATCGGCATCATAGTGCTGACTACTGTCCTTTCGTTGATGAACGTCTGTGTGATTGCGAATATGACGCCGGGGTTACGAGCGGACGTGCACGAAGTGAACGCCAAAGTTTTCGGCCAATGCGTAATCTACAGCGCTTTCTTCCTGTGGGTGGGTGCCCCCCATATAGGAGTGTGACCTCCGGTAGGTGGTCTCACTCGCGATCCACTGAGCTCGTTTTCCGGTCGGCCGGGGCAAACGATGTCGGGCATGTTCAGGACAGCTGATAGAGTTTGCACATGGACACTATTCTTCTGGAGGGCTTTTGCGGTCCTACAAAACACGCAAAGACACTCCCAAAATGACAATCAGTTTTGTCAAACGATTTTTCTACCGTGCACGACAAGTCGAAGGTGGACCAAGTGCTGTGTGCGTCGCAAACATCAAGTCGACGATTCAGTAGTGCTTTAAAAGTAGTTCGGTAACTTTCCAGCATCCATCGAGCAGAGAGAGGACATTACGTACGACGCACACCGCTTCTCTATCCGATCCTGATGAACACATCTGCAACAGATGCAGGAGGTTTGATCGGTCCTCCACGTCACTCGTCCTTCTTTGACTTTTTGCACCTCGTCTAGAATCTCGTCTTCGGCCAACTCCAATTGTACTGCACGATCATGCGTTTCGATGCTTTAGAAAACCACGAAGCTACTCCAACAACATCAGTCATGCAGCAATCAAAACTCATCGCTGAACACCTGCCTAGCTTACTTATCCTTCCTCAATCTCTGCCATACCATCTTTGTTCATCTCTGAAGTAACCATCGTGATAGAATTCTGCTTCGCAAACATGTCCGTGCAGTTGTGGTTGCAGCATATGGAAATGGTGGTGGCCGAATCCCCGGCCGAAGCAGCTGCTTACGAACGTCCGCTAAGTCAGCGAATTTGAGGATGTTGCTTCCGAACACCGCGCGCTCGAAACGGAGCGAGCCGTTCCGTACTATCGATATGCACTTACATGCAAAGTGTGTACTGTTGTTGAGGGCGATATCGTGAAAGCATTTAGTAAATACCTGTTACAATATTATCGTTGGCTCATATTTCAACGCGGCAGTCACGCGCGAGGTATCTGGGACGATATCGACTACAAAACCCATCAATTATCCGAGACAGCCGTAGTAGATACATGTACTTGTGCGTCACTGGAACCGTAGAGAGATCAGGATAGCCAATGCGAACGGCCAGTACAGAAAACATGGCAGCGAAACGCCAATGGACATGACAGACGCTCGAAACCAAATCAGGAGTACGACAGCACTGAGCAACTCAGCTCATACAGATAAGACCTTTGATCTTCATTTTTGCAGTCAGGTAGTCAACCTTCCTCTGACACAGCTGCTGTTCCTAACATCGAGCAATCTCTCAACACTTTCGATGCCTTTGCAGCGTCGTGATAATGTGCAGATCACATCGAATCGCTGCATCACCCTTTTCTCGGCCTCCGCACGATACCCGTAAAGCATCAGCCATGTCAGAGACTCCGTGTGTGTGGAAGCTCAACGAGACAAGGACCACTCCACGTGCACGATAAGGAAGCCATCGCTCTTTCATAGTATTGGCCAACGCGGTTGTAGATGCACAGCTCCGTTTTGAGGTCAATCCACATAACTCAGTACTAGTGTCAGTGACTGATCCATGCAGAGACGGTAGGCAGCAGTCCTAGCAACAGAAGTAGTGGCAGAGTCGACACTGATTCCCAAGATGACTCCCTCTGCATCACGCGACCAAAAAAGGCAAGTCCGATGACCGAACACCGCTATCATGACTCTGGCAGCTGCAATGATGGCGCCACGGTCGTCCGTGCTTGCGACACTTTCCGTCCATAAGTGTCCAATGTTGCGGATCCCACATTGACGACCCGTGTCTGCTGAGCCTCGGCGAGCCACAAACTATGCTGCACGTTCTCTTGATCACGATGCTTTCCACACTTTTCGTAGCTGAGCTGGGATGTGCACTAGTGCATCGAGCACCATCGATCTCAGCAGAACGCGAGTGTAAGCCAAGTAGATACATCTCGAGCCCCTGCGGCGTCCCGTCACGGTCCTCTGACCTTGTGCCAATATGTCACTAAGTACTTCATTCGATACCTCCTGTTGCTGCTGCATGTGCCTCAGCGATAGCACATGACGCGCCATCTCTCCAAGATTGGAAACATATTCGCGTCTGCTGCATGCTGATGTATCCCGGGACTTCCAAGGCGGAAGTCGAAAAGAGTTCGGTCGGACAAGAGACATCGCAATTACGGTTTACGATACCGTTTCGCAGCATCTTGCGCCGACTTCAAGCAAAACCATTTCGCTGCTTGCAACAGCTGAAAAGGCACCAACCAGCTGGACCCGATGGACCCTCTACCTCCCTCATAAACTTGCTCTCGTTGCAATGCCGAAGACAGTCGTGCAAAATGATGACCTCAAATCGCAGAATGCTCAAAGTTCCCCACAAGCTGTTCTTGCGCTACGCTCATTCAACGACACACCATTTACACCTTCAAGGCCAGCTTTCACCACCCGAATACCGCTCGGTCAAACTCTATCTGGTCCGGAAGGCCAGGCGCACGTGCCACTCCGTCTTGCATTGTCGATGCCAAAGCATGCCACTATCACTCACGTCGCCATCAGTCCTGACACCTAGCATCAGATGAGCACCCATTGTTACCCCATCTTTGCTGCCAGCTCAGTCTTCAACAACACAAGTACAAACGCCGATGGCCATGCGTGTGACTAACCTCACATACGGTCCACGGCTTCGACTCCGACAAGCTGCATACCGCGTCGTAACACAGCGTTGGTCGCAGCGCACAGCAACAGTCGACTATCTTGACGAGGATCTTGGAGTACACGACAGTTCTCGTAGAAACCGTGGAAATGGCACGCCACGCGGTAGAGATAATCGCACAAGTAATGGGGGTACAGATGGGCCAATGCTGCAGCCACTTCGTCATCGAACTGAGCAAGCAGCAACGCCAACGCACGCTCAGACGGATGCCAGTCAGTCGAGGCACGCGCCAGTACGTCTTGGGCTGCTACAATATCATCTGACAGGCCAAGGAAGACGTCCCATGATAGCTGGTCATTCCCGCCAGCTTTGCGGAGAATGCCCTGTAGTCTCGCAGACGCGTACATGAGGTATACGCCTGTATTGCCCTTCAGGTTAAGCACGTTGCTCATGATAAACTTGTAGTTGCGCTCGCGCTGCTGAGCCAGTTCAAAGTAGCGCACTGCTGCGTCTCCAACCACACGATTCTGAGCATCAATCTGTTCTTGCGTCAAATTTAGCTCACTTGCGATGGCACCTGTTGTCGCTGAAGCCAGAGCTTGGCGCGAGCACTCGGTAGCAGCGCCATCCAGCAGATCTTCTAGGTAATCGAACGCTCCGTTCCGCGAGCTCAGCTTTGTACCGTCGTGACCCAGCACCAGACCAAACGGCGCATGAGTCAACTTCACATCCTCTTTGCCCAGTCGACTTGTCCATCCAGCTTTTCGCGCCGCTGCAAACAAGTGCTGGAAGTGCAGCTGCTGACTCTGGTCCGTGACGTACACGATCTCGTCGTACAAAGTGGCGTCAACACCTGGAAATCCATGAATGCGAGAGTACAGACAAGCGAGATCCACCGTCGCGTACAAAAAGCCACCATCGCTCTTGCGGATGAGCATGGGTGCTTTGTCCGGTCCGTCCAGGAACACACCGAGCGCACCTTGTGACGACACGGCCAATCCGCTGCGCTCCATCATCGCGACAACACGCGACACGAGCGGCATGTAGGTGGACTCCCCCCGCTCGTGGACAGTCACGCTCAGACGGTCATAAATCCGCTCATAGGCTGCCCGACTCACTTGGCACGCACGTGTCCACGTCTCCCGAACGCGACGGTCCACCTGCGCGTCGTGGGCTGTGCCCAGTAGCTGCAGCTGCAGCACCACGTCGTCCACTTTGCGCTTAAACTGCACAGCTTCGTGCGCTCCGTCTGTTGCTACTGCTGCGGCAGCCTGTGCCACTTTGCGCTTGCCAGACTCGTAGTACGTGCCAAGTGCCGCGTCCGTGAGCGTCTGCAGCTCCACGTGCTGCTCCATGAGCTCTACAATGAGCGTCGCCAAAGCAGAGCCGACGTCGCCCGTGTGACTCACGCGCGCGACTCGATGGCCGCGGAACTCGAGCAGGTTGCAGAGCGTGTCGCCCACGACGGCCGAGCGCAAGTGCCCCACGTGCAGCTTCTTGCCCATGTTGGGCGCAGCAAAGTCCACGAGCACGTGCCGCTGCTGCGCGCGAGACAGCACAGCGCGTCGCACGCCGTGTGTAGCCATGTGCAGCGCCTGCCGCGCGATCCACTCGTCGTGCAGCACAAAGTTCACAAACCCGCGCTGCGACACGAACGCGGAGCGCAGTAGAGGAGTCTGCTGCGCTTCAACTGCGGACACTGCAGTCGCTATGGCGTGCGCGAGTTCGTCGGGCGACAGCGCCTCGGCGACATGCGCCACAGGAGCAGTAGAGCGCGTGCTGCGGCGCCCGAGCTGTAGCGCCAGACTCGTCTGGTAGTCGGCTTCGGGTTGCGTCGATCGACGCACACCGAGTGACGCTGCAGGGAGAGCGGCGGCGTCGATCGGGGGCCGTGGGAGCGCTTGGAGAGCACGACGCAGGGCGCGCTGCAGGTGCCACGTACACGAGAGAGCTTGCGCCATTGGTTTTGGGCCCTGTTGACCGGGTGGCCCAATAGGAGAAGAGGAAGAAATGGGTAGGGAAGAAACGAATGGGGAGTGGGGATGGGGGACGCGGGCGACGTGCCCCATGGTCGAGAATACATGTGCGCACGGGTCGCTTTCTGCAATAACAGCTGCTGTCGTGGATGGGTCACGACAATCGAAGGTGGGACGGAGGAGAATGTTCCATTTCGTTTCTACTGGCTGACAACGGGTTCGAAATTCTCCGTGTATCCACTTGAGTGAGTCGATCATGCGAGCTGTGGAATATAATCGGGTTTCCGGAACGTTTGGGAGGACCATGGATTCCATGAGAGGATCGCCGCGAACGACGCAAAGGATCGACAGACTGCTGCCGACTGCGTAAAGCATTGACTCACGTAGAGTCGTAGGCTTCGAGTTTTCGACGCGGATCCGCGTATGGACGAACTTGAATGCAGCGTTTGCTCGACTGCACCGCAAACAAACCCGTGCAGTTGGCTTTCGCAAAGCAACTGTTGCGTCGGTACAAGTGCTCTGGACTTGCGCGCTGCCGGACGCTTCGAAAGGCGCTGGAATACAGTGCGTGACCGACCGCAGTGTTATAGCAGACGGCAACAGCCGCCATAAAAATGCTACGAATGGTGGCATCCGTGTGCTACTCGTCACCACTTTGGACATCGCGCACGCTTAGCTCGACGGGCCGCAAAAGCGGTCGACAAAGGTAAGATAAGATGGCAGGCATGTCAAGATGTGTTCGAGTTGGGCAAGTATGCATTCACTCACCCATGACAGCACTGCAGCGAGTGTGGTAGCGCACCTCCATGTTCAACGCAACAGTCAACTGAACAGCAAATGGTCAGGCGTAGCCGGCTGCGCGTTGCTCGAGACAGTAGTCGACTTTGACGCATAGCGGCAGTGCACCACCGTAGTTGTTGGCAAATGGGACTTTGGCGCCACTAGATGAGGTGGCATGCTCGGGAGGGTCGAGAGGGGTAGGCCAAAGGGTTCATGTTTGCTTTTAGGGCAACATGATACTGCTCGGCAAAGTGCGAGAGCCGTCGCCAAGAGTGACAAGGTCCGCAAACAACCACTGAAGTAACACGAGGAAGTCGGCGTTGCTTTCCTGGTAGACTCGGGATCGATCACATATCCTGCGGTCCACCCCTGTCGGAAACAGAGTCACATCTGTTTCGCACTCTCGCTCGTGTTTGACTTCAGTCCAATCAGCTCGTGCAGAATCGGTGGCAGCAGGCAAAGAGGTCATCGTCGTCGTCCTCCTCCTCCTCCTCCATCCGTTCTGCTTCCCAATCTAGTGTGCTTCACACCACCACCAGCCTCTCGCGCGACCGCGCTGCACTGCCAGCGACCATCACTCTCGCCCGCTCGCTCGCCATCATGCCGGACTCGCCGCCGCGATCTTGTCCTGTGTGCGCCCAATCGTTCGCGCCGCCCGCCAGCGCGTCGTCCTTCGCGCTGCACGTCGTGTCCTGCTCCTCGTTCACGCCCGCCTCTCCCTCCGCCCCCGCGTCTCCCTCTTCTCCGTCCGCGTCCTCCACTCCCTCCCACTGCACGCGCTGTTTGCACGTCTACGCCGCCAGCGCGCGCGCCCACGAAAAGGCGTTCCACGAACACGAGTGCGCGCGCGTCAACGCCGACGAACAGCTGCCCGATCGTCGAGACGACGCACCGGACGGCCCGTCGGCCGCCACGCGCTCGCCCAAGCGCCAGCGCCACGACCGACGCGCGTCGCCTGTCGTCTCGCTCTTCCCCTGCACGTGTTTCCTCTGCGGCTTGAGCGGCCGCAACCTGTTGCACTGCGGCGGCAGCTGCGCGCGCGCTGCCCACCTCAAGTGCGTCAATCAGCTACGCCCACTGCCGTCTGGTGCACCCACAGGCGACGCCGCTGCTGCTGCTGCCGACCACTGGACGTGCGCGCAGTGCGTGAGGGGCGTGCACTGCTGCAGCCGCTGCGGCTTCTTGGGCCACGACGCCAATGGGATGCGCAAGTGCGTCGTGCGCGACTGCGGGCGGCACTTCCACGCGCACTGTCGACGGCCGCAGCCGACGCCGGACGAGCTGCAGCCGGAGCAAAAGCGCGCGTTCGTCTGTCCGCGTCACACGTGCGAGACGTGCGGCAGCCTGGAGACGGACATGAAACAGTGCCGGAGCTGCTCTGTCTGCTCGCACATGACGCACCTGTGCTGTCCTCGAGCAGGTGCTCGCAGCAGCAGCAGCAGCAGTAGCAATAGCAGCAGCAGTTTGTCGTTGACGGGCAGCAGCAGCAGTACAGCGGAACCCGCGTCGTCTTCGTCGTCGCTGCATCTCTTCGAGTGTCCCCGACACGACAGGAACGAGACCCCGTCCACGTTCGCAGCGCTCTCGAGTCCAGACGCCAGCAACTCGCTCCGGATGCGCCTCGCAGCAGGCGACGCAGTGCTCGTGCTCGAGTTTGACAACGCGCTGCTACCGTCGAGCGTCAAGACTGCGGCCCCGGACGTGGCGAACCACTGGGGCGTCGTGATCTCGGCGGAAGAGACCGAACCCCGTGGATGCGGGAACCAGCTCCTGAACGTGCGCATGTTTGCCGACGACAACGTGCTCGTGGTGCCGAACCAGTACGCCCTGCGCACGGCCACGGCCTCGGACTTTGCCCGCCCGGTGGACTTTGTTCGTCACTGTTTGCAACGGCACGTGATGGTGGAGCTCCAGCTGCGGTGCCTGGAGAATCACGTGGACGACAGTGAAGCGAAGCGCATCGTGCAAGCCAGTAACGCAGCGTTTGCTGCGTGCCTGAACGCGCTGGGAGTGACGGCAGCGCAGGCTACTAGCGATGCCGAGCAAGGACTTGTGCGCTGGCGTCAATTCCTGACTCTAGCAGAGCCGCGTCGGTATGACGGCCTCGGGGATGTAGCGCCCTCTTACTTGTACATTGACACGCGTAAGAGCCGCCCGGGACAGCAAGCTTCCATGAGTGTAAATGGCACTGGTGTTGCGGCAGACGTGGACCGGAACCTGTCGATGAATGGCAATGCCGACGCGCAGAGCAGTGGACCTGCTGCGAACGGCTCGAGTTGTGGAACGCTGCATCCGAGACGACCAAGAAGTGTCGGAAGAAGTCCACATGAAGCAGAAGCGGAGCAAGCTACCGATGCGATGCCGTCCGACGCACATCCAGTCCCATCTCCGCCTGGTGGTTCTACGGTGATACAAGACCACACGAGTACAGTAGACGCGACCTCAGCAACGAAGCAAGATGCTCAGCCGACGAACGGAAGTCAGTCTGGGGCACACGCTTGTCTCGGCGTGACTCGGTCGCAAAGTGTCTCGGCGCACATGAACAGTGGTAACGGCAGTATCGCTGGCTCTGCCGCGAATAACAATGCACAGACGACGGATGATGCACAGCGTCTCGCCAGTGCGAAGCGCCGGAAGCTCGAGACCAAGACGCCAATGTGGACCAGCACAGCAGATTGTGCGCCTATCGACATCCACCGCATTCGTTCGGGAGGAAGTCGAACCACTGCCTCGACATCAGACACCTCGCGCATTTCGCCGGTGGCGTCAACCGTACGCACGCTGCATCGTCAGAAGCGAAGGCTGCTGACCCGAAGGCAAAAGCTGTTGGCGGAGACACCACCGCCAGTACTGGCAGAGCTGAAGCGCGTGGCGTTGCGCTACCTCGAGGAAGCTGATCGATCCAGACCGGTGGTGGCACGAATTCCAAGTGACGTAGATGCATTTCCCTGGGCCGCTCGTGCCTCGAGCTTTCGTCCCGCATTTTACCGACCGTCTGTGATGCTGGGCCACAGTGGGCTGCGTCGATCCAGATTCAACGCCGTTAGTCGTTTGCTAGTAAGCCAAAACAAGCGCGACATCAAGTGCTTTGTGCAGACGCTTGAGACCGACGCGCAAATGTCCGGGAGCTCTGACTCGAGGAGGAAACCGTCGTCTGCGCCGCCCGGATTCGTGCTGCTGGACTTGCTGAGCATGCGGAGCTTTCGTGAGTTGGAGTCAGTGGTGCGCGCCCGACTGGTGGAAACGCTGATGCCGCACTCGCATTGTACCGACGAGTATCTCGGCATGAACGTGTACCAATCCCAGCGTTGGGTGGAGCAGCAGCAGCGCCATAGAACACCGCGCGATGACTTGCCCATTTCCCTGACTTATTGTACCATAGACGGTGTCCGACATCGCCTCGATTTGCGGAAGAGTCCGTCGAGGCCATCCGCAAAGGATGCGCGGACGTGGCTTAGCTTTTGCGCGAACGTTTGCCACCTCGCTGCGGTGATCACGATACCGTGCGCTGATCGTTCAGTTCCGGCGTCAACGACGATCTCTCTTCAGCACAGTGCAGTTGCCAAGTAAGCAGGCAATGCCAGTGAATGGGCAGCGACTGGGAAACAGCTCCAGTTCCAGCAGAGTTGCGTCGATCGACGGTGATCGAACATTGAGCCCGTGGAAGCCATCGAGTATGTGCGAATTCCTGTCTCGCGGTTCTTGTCCCGCACCGCAGACCGCTTGGGTGCAAAATGGCTATGCGTCGCTCGGTCTGCACTTGCACTGGAGCTGATCGACTCGACGGACTCTCGTGCCGTGTGAGCGTCGACTTTGGCGTCCGCATGGACGACCGCCGAACGTCGCGCGTCACTGTGTGCTCTCGAGAGCGCCATGAAGTGCGCTGATGTGACGACACTGTTGACGGGAGACAAAAGAGCACGGCCCGAGCGAGCGCTTGCTCGAGGCCCAAAGGCATCAGATTCGTTTCGATGGCTCGAGACATCAATGGCCGTAGACAGGAGCCGGACACCTGTTGCTCACACAGCGCGTGCGCACGGGAACCGCCAGAGTGGCAAGCGATTGTCAGGAAGACCAATTGCTCGGGCCGTCACACTGAAAGGTGCACTGGACAGCGACGCGCGAATGCGGTGCGCTCTCCTGGACAGGTATGAAAACGACTTAATCGATGCCAATGGATGTCGCTTCCCAATGGAGCTCACATTCCCCACCGCATGGGGCAACGGCACAGCGTTTGTCAAGCAGACGAGCCAACTGCTGCTGTCGTGACGCGTCGACGCAACGACTCGCAGTCTTTTCGTCTCCTGGCACGAAGGGTCGTAATGTGACGAACGTCATTTCGAGGTCAAGTGCATGGAATGTCGTCAACTCTCGGGGGGGTGCCATCTGAAAGAGAAGCGCTATTGTGTGGGGGAGATCTGTCGAGTGCCGGCCGCCCCGCTTCGAGGTGCGATATATAACGAGCAAAGACAGTGTGTTGACCCGAAACTGACGGCACGTGTCGCAGATTCGGCACTCTCGTCTGCAGGACTTTCGACCAATTGAGCTGCGCGAACGTGAAAGTACTTTTGCTCTGATCCATTTGTCCCATGAGAGCACAAGCCACTCTGCTCCTCTCTACTAGTTGACTTGGCTGCAGTAGCCCAAAAGCCCTAGAAGCTGAAGCGCACGTGTGCATGGCGCTATAATATTGGCCACGCGAGTTATCCCGGTGGAATGCTGTTGTCTACAAGTGGGTCGATCTGTTTGCTTGCACAAAACTACTTTACCACTAATGTCTGCCACACAAGAGCCGTCGTCCTGAACAGTGTTTAAGAAGACGCTGTCGACCGGCATAATCGACAGCTCGTGCATCTATCTGTACGAAGGTGAGTGGAGCTCTCGCTCAACAAGGCGATTCTCGTGACGATCTTTATCGCTGCGAAGGATCGTGTGTGTAGGTACACCTGACCACAGGCAGGGGCTATGCTCTACTTCAACGTCGACGACCACGGCGTCATCCCGAACTGGTGCATCCTGCACAAAGACAAAGTTGTGGCCGATTTCCCATCAATCGTCCGCGTTGTCCACGACGACAGTGCCATCAATTTATGGGCAAAAGGGGAGACATATACACATGTACAATCAGACATCGACTATGCTCCACGTCGCGCCAATCCTTTCGAGCAACAGATATCTGGCGACGTCGTCGTCATCAATCGGTTTCCTCCAACATTGCTGCAACAACGACACAACGGAAACTTCACTGACCATCATTCTTCTTTCCTTCAACGCCCGCGGTAGAACATCCCACGTGCAACTTCAATTTACTTTTCACTTGTACGCCAACCAGCGACCGAGATCGTCTGCCGCGAGCACGCGCACTGTGGTGCCACGACTGACGCTCGGCGCGCTCGTGTCTGCCTTACTTACTGCCAGTACAGCAGCAGTCGTGTCCTGTCCTGTCCCGGCCGCGTCTCCAACGTCCATGGACTCGATGTAGCAGCCGCAAACGTCTCCACGAAGAGGCCAAACGCGATCGAATGCGCGGCTCGACGAGTCCACCGGTCCTGCGTCTGCGCCAGTCCGCACAAGTGCCGCTCCCCGTGCGAGCGCGTTGCTGTCTCTGTCGGTTCGTGCACCACAGCAACCAGTCTCGACGTTCTTGCGTCAAGGGCAGCACTGCCAACTGCAGCAACAGCGAGTCTGACGCGAGTCAACAGCCACCAAAGCAATTTGAGGGCGTCAGATGCGTCTTCTCCCGACCCAAAACACTGCAGCTCAGTGCTGCTGTCTGCAGAGATGAAAGCAGCAGCAGCAGCAGCAGAACGCTCAGCTGACTCTCACATGTTACAGCAGCTACTGCAGGATCTGCTCTTCATGTCGGGCGTCGCAAGGCGCTGATAGCGGTCTTTGATTGCTGCTACTGAGCTCCACGCGCCGTCGAGAAGACGCAAACTCTGTCAAGCTGTGCACTGCACTGCGCTGCATCGCATGGAGTACTCAAGTTGATCGACAACAAACGGCCAAAGAGAGAGAAACGACCAACACGCTTAGCTACGGCAGCGCCATTATCCCTCTCTCGCTGTCTCTCGCTGCCTCTCGCTCTCCACGTACGTTACACTACGTAGGCCGGTAGAGCGTTGACGGCACCACACTTGGCCCGGTCGATCTTGAGGTGTCGTTGCATCTGCTGTATGGCTCGAGCAGTTTCTTGCCACGCTGCCGCGCGGTCTTCACGGATCGACCCAGGAATGTCGAAGCGCTCGCGCACAGTCGCGCGCAGCGTCGAGATGCGGTAGATGAGCAGCAACGACGCCAGCGACGTCAGAGTGAGCGCGCCTGCAATCCACAGGATACGACCCGTGACGCTGACGCGGTCGCGGTAGGTCTGGGAGTTGATCCACAGGGCCACGAAGATCCACACGGTTGCGAAAGCCCCAGCCAACAGCGCGAAAGCTATCGAGTACCAGCACAGCGCACAGCAATAGGACGTGAGGCCAAGACGCCCCTCGATCTGTGCCAAAGGGAAGCACGGGCAACAGGCCTCGACGTTCACGTTCGACGCCATGCAGCTCGTGGGCTCTTCTGGAATCACAGGACTCGACCACTGACCGATCGTAATTCCATTCGCGTCTTGTCCCGGCGGAGGATGCAAGGCCTCCCCGTGCACCGTTTTCTCTGCCTTTGCTGTCGTCATAGCGAGTGGCCAGGAGGAGATGAGGTGTTGACCAAGCCAAATCGCTGAGATCTGCACAAAGAACTTGTGAAACTCCAAGAATGATTAGAAGAAATCTACAGTGTATTGGAAAGGGTCAAGTGGCTAGGCTGTGTACGCTAAGTGTAGTTCCCTTCTACACACAACGGACCTGCGGCAGCTACTCGACCTGACATGGACAAAAATGCAGCGTGGGGTTCCGCATCAAGGCGTCGTGGAACTTGTTCCACGTGGACGTCAACCAGTTTGAGCAGCTCAAGCCCGCAGGAAACGTGACTGCTGCGCAGTCTGCGTGTTGCTGTCCTCGGAGCTGGGCTTGACCGGCGTCTCGATCCTCTTCATACCGGACTTGCCAGGGCGGGTCGGCGGCGTCATGACTGGAGTTCCCGAGGACATGCCAGGGTTGTTAACAACTGGGCTGGGCGTGCCCGGAGCTTCATTCGCGGAATCACCCATCTCACCCGTAGGTGTCAACGGTGCGCCCTGGTCAACGACCGGGACGTGGCCGTCCTCGCCAGAAGGCACGGTCGGAGCTGGAGTGGCACCATGCTCTTCACCGCCGCCAACAGCCGGGGTCGTAGGCGTGCCTGGGACCGAAGGGACAGTCGGGGGCAATGGTGCTTCCTGGTCAACGACCGGGACGTGGCCTTCCTCGCCGGCGGGCACGGTCGGAGCTGGAGTGGCACCATGCTCTCCACCGCCGCCAACAACCGGGGTCGTAGGCGTGCCTGGGACCGAAGGGACAGTCGGGGGCAATGGTGCGTCCTGGTCAACGACCGGGACGTTGCCCTCACCGTCGACAGGAGGGTAATTGTACTCCAAGGTCGGGCAAGGCGTGCCAGACTCTTCACCCTGGACGCCGGTCGGAGTCGTAGGGGAAGGAGGAAGCGACGACGTGACAGGAGTCGCTGGAGTGGTAGGTGTTGATGGCGTGACCGGAACCGAAGGGAGAGTCGGGGGCAATGGTGTTTCCTGGTCAACGACCGGGACGTGGCCTTCCTCGCCGGCGGGCACGGTGGGTGCTGGAGTGGCACCATGCTCTTCACCGCCGCCAACAACCGGGGTCGTAGGCGTACCTGGGACCGAAGGGACAGTCGGGGGCAATGGTGCTTCCTGATCAACAGCCGGGACGTGGCCGTCCTCGCCGGCGGGCACGGTGGGTGCTGGAGTGGCACCATGCTCTTCACCGCCGCCAACAACCGGGGTCGTAGGCGTACCTGGGACCGAAGGGACAGTCGGGGGCAATGGTGCTTCCTGATCAACAGCCGGGACGTGGCCGTCCTCGCCGGCGGGCACGGTGGGTGCTGGAGTGGGACCATGCTCTCCACCGCCGCCAACAACTGGGGTCGTAGGCGTGCCTGGGACCGAAGGGAGAGTCGGGGGCAATGGTGCGTCCTGGTCAACGACCGGGACGTTGCCCTCACCGTCGACAGGAGGGTAATTGTACTCCAAGGTCGGGCAAGGCGTGCCAGACTCTTCACCCTGGACGCCGGTCGGAGTCGTAGGGGAAGGAGGAAGCGACGACGTGACAGGAGTCGCTGGAGTGGTAGGTGTCGATGGCGTGACCGGAACCGAAGGGAGAGTCGGGGGCAATGGTGCTTCCTGATCAACAGCCGGGACGTGGCCGTCCTCGCCGGCGGGCACGGTCGGAGCTGGAGTGGCACCATGCTCTCCACCGCCGCCAACAACCGGGGTCGTAGGCGTACCTGGGACCGAAGGGACAGTCGGGGGCAATGGTGCTTCCTGATCAACAGCCGGGACGTGGCCGTCCTCGCCGGCGGGCACGGTGGGTGCTGGAGTGGGACCATGCTCTCCACCGCCGCCAACAACTGGGGTCGTAGGCGTGCCTGGGACCGAAGGGAGAGTCGGGGGCAATGGTGCGTCCTGGTCAACGACCGGGACGTTGCCCTCACCGTCGACAGGAGGGTAATTGTACTCCAAGGTCGGGCAAGGCGTGCCAGACTCTTCACCCTGGACGCCGGTCGGAGTCGTAGGGGAAGGAGGAAGCGACGACGTGACAGGAGTCGCTGGAGTGGTAGGTGTCGATGGCGTGACCGGAACCGAAGGGACAGTCGGGGGCAATGGTGCTTCCTGATCAACAGCCGGGACGTGGCCGTCCTCGCCGGCGGGCACGGTCGGAGCTGGAGTGGCACCATGCTCTTCACCGCCGCCAACAACCGGGGTCGTAGGCGTACCTGGGACCGAAGGGACAGTCGGGGGCAATGGTGCTTCCTGATCAACAGCCGGGACGTGGCCGTCCTCGCCGGCGGGCACGGTGGGTGCTGGAGTGGGACCATGCTCTCCACCGCCGCCAACAACTGGGGTCGTAGGCGTGCCTGGGACCGAAGGGAGAGTCGGGGGCAATGGTGCGTCCTGGTCAACGACCGGGACGTTGCCCTCACCGTCGACAGGAGGGTAATTGTACTCCAAGGTCGGGCAAGGCGTGCCAGACTCTTCACCCTGGACGCCGGTCGGAGTCGTAGGGGAAGGAGGAAGCGACGACGTGACAGGAGTCGCTGGAGTGGTAGGTGTTGATGGCGTGACCGGAACCGAAGGGAGAGTCGGGGGCAATGGTGCTTCCTGGTCAACAGCCGGGACGTGGCCGTCCTCGCCGGCGGGCACGGTCGGAGCTGGAGTGGCACCATGTTCTTCACCGCCGCCGACAACCGGGGTCGCAGGCGTGCCTGGGACCGAAGGGACAGTCGGGGGCAATGGTGCTTCCTGATCAACAGCCGGGACGTGGCCGTCCTCGCCGGCGGGCACGGTGGGTGCTGGAGTGGGACCATGCTCTCCACCGCCGCCAACAACTGGGGTCGTAGGCGTGCCTGGGACCGAAGGGAGAGTCGGGGGCAATGGTGCGTCCTGGTCAACGACCGGGACGTTGCCCTCACCGTCGACAGGAGGGTAATTGTACTCCAAGGTCGGGCAAGGCGTGCCAGACTCTTCACCCTGGACGCCGGTCGGAGTCGTAGGGGAAGGAGGAAGCGACGACGTGACAGGAGTCGCTGGAGTGGTAGGTGTCGATGGCGTGACCGGAACCGAAGGGACAGTCGGGGGCAATGGTGCTTCCTGGTCAACGACCGGGACGTGGCCTTCCTCGCCGGCGGGCACGGTCGGAGCTGGAGTGGCACCATGCTCTTCACCGCCGCCGACAACCGGGGTCGTAGGCGTACCTGGGACCGAAGGGACAGTCGGGGGCAATGGTGCTTCCTGATCAACAGCCGGGACGTGGCCGTCCTCGCCGGCGGGCACGGTGGGTGCTGGAGTGGGACCATGCTCTCCACCGCCGCCAACAACTGGGGTCGTAGGCGTACCTGGGACCGAAGGGACAGTCGGGGGCAATGGTGCTTCCTGGTCAACAGCCGGGACGTGGCCGTCCTCGCCGGCGGGCACGGTGGGTGCTGGAGTGGGTTCATGGCCAACTGGCGTTTCGCCCGGCGTCTTCACAGGGGTCTCTACTACAGGCGGGTGCTGGTCGGGTGGGGAGCCAGTGCTGTCGCCGGTCTTAGGTGTCTCGGGGGTCATCGCCGGGGTGACCGGGGCTGGAGTCGGTGCATTCGAGCCGCCAGGTGTAAAGCTGCCAGTGTCATGGAGGGACATGCCGCCGCCGGCACGTGCGACTTGCGTGGCCACGGCCGCAAGGACAATGGTCGTGTACACCTTCATGGGAGTAGTTGGAACGGTAACAGAAGACGAGTAGAAACGCTGTTGGGGACTAAACAGAGATTTCCGACTGGGAACGAAGCTGAAGAGTGCGCTCTAAGAGGGAAATGTGGGAATGAGGACTCCCTGCTGTGCCGAGCATTCGAGCAGCGCGAGGGGACGATGAGGCACAGAGGCTGCAAACGACGCGCTCTCTCGTACCGCCAGCCCTTATCCTGGCGAAGGGATATCGTCAGGTGGTTCGTTCGTCCTACTATGTCAAGCGCTCGCTCGCTTTTACGCTTGCACGACACGACACGACACGACGCGACACGACACTTGTTTGAACTCGCCCGGCCGGCCGCTGACTTTTCTTTGTCGCGTTGTCGCACGACACGACGCGGCGAAACACACGACAGGACGAGGTTCAATGTGTGGATGTCGCGGACTCGCGACCCGCACCCGTTTGTAACGATGGCGAAAGCGCTGGCTTGCGTTCTCGGTCCTGACGCCTTCGGAGCTTTGCTCTCTGTTTCGGACGAATGCATGCATCACCGGTATTGCAACACGCAGAAATGCAAGCGAACTGGGCTACGACAAGTTTGGGTTCGCCACTCGAGCTTACGATCGCCGTCGAGTCCAAACACCAGCCCGTTGCAAGCTCCGACACCGCCAAAAGTGTCGAGCCCTGACACCAACTACCTCCGATCGCTGTGTTGTGCTGAGCTTCCTGCGGTGAAAATACGGTGCGTAGAAACACGTCGCTCGCTCGCACGACTCGGGGGATAAGAAAATCCCGCCGGCGTTGCTGCAGGTCCGGACAGAAATAGATGCAGGTCGCCTGGTCCTTTTTCCATCTACTCCCACCGGCCAGCCGTCGACAAAGCCACGTCGAACTGGTCTCACGCATGCGATTGCAAAGATGTCGCTCGACTTCGGCTGACCGGTTGCACTGCAACGGTACGAAGTCACGGATATCTCCATCGGTCACTGCATCTTGGTCATTGAGCCGACGGTCGTTTGATGTTTCGGATCGAAAGGCCGGGGCCGCAGAGCAGGGAATCAAAGCACGCCACAATTTGACGAACAGGCGCCGCACGCTGCGGTCCCAAAAACATCCGCTGCTCATCCGCAGAGAGACCAAAATTTGACGCGAGAGGCGCCACGCCGGCAAACATTTGCTTGGGCCGGAGACCGCACGCCAGACAGCAGAACGGAAACTACAATCGACGAGCAGATGTCGCGTGTTTTCAAATCCCGACCACGCGCAGTCGACACGAGCCCACCTCCGGTCTTCAACCTGCGGAGCACCGTGGAAACTGCAGCAGTGATACTCAACTCCACTCGTCCTTTTAGTAAGCCAGAAACGGCGGATGGACAGCGATAAAACAAGCTCAGGCCCGGGCAATGGGTACATCGAGCAATAAAAGCGCTTTTACGGCTCGAAACGACAGCTGGTTTCTCCGAGCAAACATACGACAGCTCGTACCCCCACGTCTTCTTCGGGTCTGCGCTCCATCTGGTTTGTCTCACTTCCAGCACTTGCCCCCACTTCTGTCCAGTGACTGCTAGGGATTACCGGCACGAGGAAGAGCAGACGCCCAGGCGCAAGCAGCACTTTTCACTCGTGTCTACGGCGCCAGTGGCATTTGCTGCGAATGGCGTTGTCGGCTGTGACGGCTGTAACGGCTATAAGCTGTTGTAGTCAAATTGGGTAAAGCGCTGCACGTACCACCTACTGGCAGCTTTATAGCCAGTGCCAACAGCTAAGAATGAGGTGCAGCAGTGCGCAAACTCGGAATGCGCCGCGACCTTCCGCTGGTTCGGAATGGGGGGAGCGACGCCATGAGAGTCGTGCAGTCTTTCGCCTCACGGCACTGCCGAATCAATGCAAGCGCTTTCGGGTTGCTGCGTTTGCAGGCGCTAGCGTATCTGCCTCGATGCACGAACGCGTCGTGGCTACTTGGATCCATGGTCGCAAGCGTTCCCATGAACGTTGCAGCTCTGTCCGAGGCCAACCGGGTACTGCCTCGTCAAGTGGACACGCCCTACATCTGTCTTGTCAGCTGCGTTGCCCGGTCATCGATACTTTCCACGTGCTTCGAGCTTCACGATGCTGGGAGCTCGAAGAACGTTCTGCGGCGACAGAGGCAGCTCCGTTTATCTTCGGCCAAACGTGTGGCAACGGCTGTCGTCGAAGGGCAAAACCCATGCACCTCGATCTCGTTTTCCACTATTTGCATCGACCTCCGCCACACGCAGTGAATGTGGCAGTTGATGCAGCAACGCGAGTCCTTTGACCGAAATGCACGGGCGCCTCGGACGATCGTAACGACAGTTGCTCTCGAGTTTCTGGACATCAAGTGCAGACATTGTGCTGCACTCATCTGCGCAACTGACGTGTGCTCCCACAGTAGTTCTTCCACACACTGTTGTTGTCCATGTACCCTGAGCCGGCTGTGCATGCCAACCACCACCACCGCCACTGCATCCATTCTATGACGAGCACTGATGCGGCTGTCACGTGATGTTCCGCGTCCGCCGCTTCCGTCGCAGCAACATTTGGTGGCACTGGTGGTGACGCTCGGCATAACCAGCTGCGGCGCGTGCACTTTACGGATGTATAGCGCCGGTCATCTGCTCGACTCAGCGACTGTAGACGCACGCCGGGCGTGCGTGCATCACGTGGTGGAAACAAACTGTTTGGTCCGTCTTTCTCGGATGCCATAGGTGAGAACCTCGTGCTGTATCTGACGGTGCTCGTCCCTACTACTCATCGTCGGCTCAGTACGTGACGCTGGCGCTTCCGTGACCACGTGCTTGTCAACCGCCTCTGCTGTCGCACTGTGGTCGATCGATCCCACGAACGTGGCGCCTTTGCGAGGAAAGCCACGTCGGCTCCTTTTCTTGCCCAGTGCCACGCTCACCCACCTCACGCAGGCAGTTAGTTGCCTTGCGCAGTCCTCGTTAGCGATACACAGATTCGGTGCTACCGTAGCGACGCGTTGGGTCATGTGCTGTCACTTCTCCTGGTCCGTCGAGGATGCCATCGGTCATCCATAGCGTCATGCTGGGCATCGAACCTCTACAGGCGGTCACTACACGGCCGCGACTACGAAACTCACGATAGTAGCAGGTTGGGATGCATTGCAGGCAATAGTTTGCAGTGCTTCGGAGGCGAATAGCGAGTTGCTGCTCTGCTGTACATTGCAAAACGAGGTCACACGGATTAGGCAACAGCACTTGACGAGCCATCAGGCGCTGCATGTGGTCGAACGGGTCTATGCAGCGGCTGACGCCAAAGCGACGTGGCTGCTGCAGCCTGACCGCTTTATGTTGAGGTTCCAGCGGATACAATCAAGTTGTCTCAACGACCTGTTCCTGCCCTGTTCATCGCGGGCTTTCACATCTCGGGCTGCTTGCAAGCTGATTACTGGTAGGTACGCGCTAGCGATCGCAAGACTTCGTTGCGCCACGTTACAGGTGATTCAGGGGCTTTCCGTGCACCGAAAGAAGCACAGCTTCGCTAGAAGTTGGCGGATACAAAGCGACGGTAAAGCAGGTACCAAACACCGGCATACTCATTGAGATAGCACCACGTTGGTGCACTGAGATCGAGTGCTTTGGCGACTGCTTTCATACTTCGTCTGGTCGATATTGACAGATTGCGTGGAAGATCTTGGCGCTGACCACTTTGCGCGGGGGTCGGGGCCGCTCGGCTTAGCGATGGCTTACACATGTAGTGGGTAACACGAGATCAGCATTGACCGGTACCGGCTACTGTGATATGCCGTGGGCTGCAACCCGATCCCGAGGACTAATCGACTAGTGAATGCTGTCCAGCATCAGCGATACATGGGTGATCGATTGGTCGCGAACGGCCACGAGAAACGATAGTGGACACGCAACTGGAGAAGCCGCTGGACGCCGAGACATGCTGGCATGTTTTCGGTAGAGCTCATGTGATGTGTAGGGTGAACGAGCGATCGCGAATGGGCTGGCAACATGTTTATACACTCTGGATCGGTTAGGCCGTTCGATGTGGTCGTGACTCGGTGATGGATGTAGTCATTCTCAGGAATATGCACTTTCACCGTTGCAATCGTTGCGTGAATAGCAATCTCGTCGACAGAGTGGTCCGGGGTTTTGCAGGATTCGCAGGGAACAAAGCTGGCAAGTTGGAGAGTATGGACGACAGTCGACCGTTTGCTATAGATGACCACAAAATGATACGAGGATGGTCCGAAGTAGAAGGAGGAGTGAGACAGCTATGGAGTCCCGCCATTTGCGGCTCTACGTTCCAGGCCGAGCTCTAGCAAATGTAGGCTATGCGAGCAATGAAGCTATATCCGCAGTGGTGATCCAAGTGTATCGCAACAACGTGTTTAGTGGCCAGTCAAGTAGCATTTAACGTAAGATGGCTGAATCAACGGACACTATCGCGACTGGCCGGTCAACTTGTCAGACCTACACGAAGCGTTATATCCATAGCGTACTTGATGACGTGTCGACTCACCTTGACGTTACACGAAAGCGAAGCTTGGCATTGCTTTGAGTCGCAGCGTGGAAAGTACAAGAGGAGGATCGTAAGTTGTAAACCTGCCATCACGTTAGTTCGTAAGACATGGACGAAGTGAACGGAATCGTGTGTATCGTTTGCTACTCACCGAACAACATGAATGAAAAGCTTCACTGACGTTGTGCGTGAGATCTCGTTAGATTGCTGGCCTCGATCGACAGAGGCGTCTTTGAATTTGGTAGAGCTCAGAAACTGTAACTGCAGCTACACCATTGGACGCTGTTTGCGCTAAATTGCCTCCAACGGAGTCCTCGCATCGTTGTATCGTTCGGCTTGCAGCTGAAGAGCTCATTGCGCACGACCAATTTCGAAGCCAACCGATCGAAAATCCATCACAACGCATTCCGTGCAGCACAAAAACCGTATCCAGGTGCAAATGGGCTGATCCGATTTCAGATCCCAATTCTCGGCGTCTCCTGGCACGGCTCGCAGTCGGCTATATTTG